GCGTTGTGTTGGTGGAGTAAAACGGGGAGGAGAAACGTGGGGCACGTTGGCAGTGACACGAGTCATTTTGTCCCTTGGATTTGAGGTAGTTGCTGCATGTGGAGCTCCTTTGTAGAGAGTTTATGTTCTTCATGATTTCTTACTGCGCTGTTGATTTGGTGCTAAACAGTCTGCTCATTCTGGATTTTTACATTTTTTCTTGAGCCCCTGTAGTAAAGATTTTTCTCTTCTGTTGTCCTATTCTTTTGCCTTATGCACAGATGCGGGTGTAAGATCAGTTGAGCTTTTGGCTGCTTTGTGGCATGTTGGGATTCAAAGATACTAGTTGGTTGCGTATGAAGCATCTTTCTGTAGTTAAGCTTTAAGTTGGCCTTTGCTGGGCCTCACTGAATGCAGTGTTATTGTGTAACTACTGTACCTCCTGTACTTCCTTGGCAAGTTTGAAGAAAAATGTATTACACAGAATATGCCATTTCTGTGAGCAGTAATCAAAGCAGATCTCCAGAGTCAGTAGTCTGATCTGTACCACAAATATTGCCAGCGGTTTTTTTTTTTCCCTTGCTTGTCTGAGTTCTAAGCTAAATCGCATTAGGTGCCCCTGAAGACGGGTTGCTACAGCTGCAGATCTGTAGTGTAACTTTTCTGTGCTAGAAGCCAATTTTTTTCTGAGTGTTTTTCCAAACACTTGATGAGCTCAGTAGGTGGTTTTTAATAAGTAGGCCTAATTCTGCCTAAACCAGAAACCACAGCCACCCCCTTCCCTGTGATCGGCAGGAAAGGAACTCTGTGTAGGCATCGTGGGTAGGTTTTGCGTACTGCAAAAGTAGCCCTGTGTACCAGATGCATATGGGATGGCGTTTCAGCGTTTTGAGGTAGAAGAGCCTGTGTGGTGTATTGGTGCTTTTAGCTCTAAACCATCAAGTGGGCTGTTGATGCGCAAGTGCTGTCACAAAGCTCCATCTGTGCGGTGGCCCTGCGTGTCTTCCAGAAATAACCATGTATAGGTGTGACTTGACCTGCCAGGGTTTTCCCTCGTTATGAGCTTTAATCCTGGGAGAACTGATTTTGTTGTGGTAACTGGACTCCATGTAAAGGTTTCTGTTGTTCTAGAGAAGAGAGAGCTGACCACAGCTGGTCACACAGTTCTGACTTTAAGAACAGCTACATTAGTTGGCTAGTGAGGAGTTTTGCTTTTTGCCTTTGGAAGTGGTGGAGGTGGTAATTTTTCCAGTGTTCAGCCGTCAGGTATTGCCTTGCTTGCCTACAAGCCACTGGCCGTGAGTTTGCAGGCACGTGAGGCTTTCCTCACCAAACTGCTACATCCATACAGCGCCACCGCCCCTGTCTTCGGATGCTGGCAAGATCATTGATGGTTTTCCTTTTCATGTAGTTGTGAAACTAGCACCACACGTGCAATGAACGTTGGAGACAGCAAAACTAACTGTAATTTTGTCTTATTTTTGTGTTTTCACTTAAGTAGATACGTGTCCTAAAGTTGTTGTTTTTCCTTTCCAGAATCAAACGAGCTTTTCTTATTGAGGAGCAGAAGATCGTTGTGAAAGTGTTGAAGGCACAAGCACAGAGCCAGAAGTCAAAGTGAATCTATTTGTAGTTTCAGCCCAATAAATGAAAGCTCCACTCTTCTTGTGCCCTGTCATTCCTTGTGCTAGTCAGAGCTGGCAGGAGCTGCTTCTCACAGCTGCTGTAATGCAGAACTGGGTTTTGATGCAACAAACCCCATAAGTTGGGGTGCTGGTCTGGGTTCAGTGCTGCCTGCAGAGAGAAGTCAAGCAGGTGGAAGGAAATCTGGTTAGACAGCACTGCCTGCTCTGTCTCATAGCCCTGTAGACTGGGGTAGCTTTGAGCAGCGCAGGTTTTTTCCCATGGCAACAGCTGTGTATGAAGTCATCGGAGGACTTGGCTCAGAAGAAAGTTAGGAATCCGAAAAAGAAAAGCAAACGAGAAGTCTTAAGACTGAGGACTGGAAGAGAGGTTGTCAGATGAAGAGGAGAGCTAGTATAGGCTAAGGTAGAGATGACTTTTTTTAATCATATGTGCTGTACTGACTGTTGCTTGGGGATGGGGGGAATAGCCTGACTTCTTGAAGCAAGTGCTGTACCCACCGGACGGTTGTGGACTGCTGCGCTTGCCCCTCCTGGCAGAAAGCTGCCCCTGCTGTATGCCCTTTGTTAGGGGCTTCCTGGGTCAGCAGTCAGAGATACGGTACAGCAGAGCTCCAGGGCACAGCTAGGGCAGACCTTCAGTGGCTTGCAGAATTAGGTTTTAGAGTAGCAATTTAGGCCTCTGGTATTGAACCAAAGTTCTGTTGCTATATCACTGAGGATGTAATGGCAGCATAAAAATCAACTGTAAAAGGTGGAAGTGGACTAATTTTTCTGCTTTGCTTCATTCTGTTGCGTAAAGAGAACTGTAAATGTGCCTCTAACGCTACCCAGGAGTGCTTTAACACACCAGATAATTCTTGCAGTGGGTGCAGTGGTATTCCTCACCCTCAGCTCTGAAGTTTGGAACTACTCTTAGTATCTGGCAAGTGGGTGTCTATTTTTCCCAATAACTATTTTTTTTTTTCCCCAAAAAAAGTAGTGAGCTCTGCCACCGCAGTAAGGAGGGAGAGGAAGTGATTACTGAGCACACAGACTTGCTGGGGGCAGTGAGGATGCCGTTCGGAGGGGTTTCTCGGATGGCTTGTGGAGTCTGCTCAGGCTGTGGCTCTGGGAGATGGGCGCAGACTCCCCTGCTGGCTGAATGCTGCCTGTTTGTGCCGTGCCTGGCTCTGAAGCCTGTCAGCCTGTGCAGTCAGCCAAGAAACATGACAGAAAACTGAGCTGATGAAAAGAACCACTCTCAGTGTCAGCGAGCTGGTACTTGGGGTCAACTGCCTGCAAACTCGCAGCGGCGGTGGTGGTGCCTCTGGGTTTGACAGAGGGTGGCCGTGGTCCAGGGTAACTGACTTAACACCACACCGGGTGAAAGGAGCTGTACCTCCCCAAGAATTCCTTCACGGTGTCCCAAGTTGTTAAAAAATAATTCAGTCAATATTCTCAAAATGGTTAAACGTTGCAGTGAACTCGTGTAGCTTTTAAGTATGAAGTGCTTCTTTCTCCTCAGCTCAGGTTATGCTAAAACTTCTTCCAAAGGCTGTAGCTAATTAAAGGTTTTAAGGCTAATGTTAGTGCTCTGACATTTTTAGGTGCTGTTACTATAGTTAGTTTGCCAGGTTAAAATTTTATTAGCTGTTGCCTCACTGCGCTAGTACGAACTTCAGTACTTTGGCATGCTGGAAAAACTGTTTTAAAGCAGAAGCGACAAGTAGGGCAGGCGTGTCTAACCTGCCCCAAAAGTGCTCTTGTTTTACGTTAACAGCGGTGAGATTAGAGTTTTGCTTGGGGCTTTTGGAAAGGAGGCAAGATGGAGGGAGAATACTTTTGGAATAATTAGGAGAAATGTCATAAACATCTGTTGACAGGCAGATTGCACTGAGAGGAGTATTTTTCCCAAACAGGAGGGCTAAGACTGAAAATAATTATAAATGATACGACTGTGCTGAAGGGCAACGTGTGTTATGAGGTAGGACAAGGGCTGTCGCCACTGTAGGCAGAAATAAAAGCAGTCACTGGGCAAAGTGTCAGTGAAATAGTAAGTTCCTTGATTAGTTTTTTTTTTTTTTAAAAACAGTTTTTCTCCGTGCAGACAGCTGCAGTGTAGGTGTGGGGGCAGTCTTTGGGGCAGGATACCCCTCAGGGCTGCCGGTGCCTTCTGCGCAGCAGCGGGTAGTAGGCTGAATGGCTTCGGCTGCAGCGTGTGCTTTTAGACAATCAGGGAACCTGGAGTGAGGGGCTGGTGTTGCGGTGGGGTTTGCTGCCTCTCTCCGGTGTCAATCTGCCTCCTGAAAGGCATCAGCCTTCCTGTGAGTGGGGTTGGTTTTGTTGTGCTGGTTTGGTTTATGGACCTGTCACTTCTCCTCAGCTAGTGCTCCGATTCAGTCCCTGGCTGTCGGGTTTCTCTTGTGAAGGGAACGCTTCCTGTGCTGTCGGGAGACTTGACCTCAGCTCAAATAAAGGTACAGAGAAGACAGGGGGTGCTCCGAGAAGGGCTCTCCCCTGCCCCCGTTCATGAAGCAAGAGGAACGAGACAAGCTTCCACTCAAAACGGGGAGCCCTTCCCCCTTACGTGTTGCCTGGTGCTTCGCTCCACACCGAGCCTCAGCTGAGCTGAGGGCAGTGACGCATCCCGCGGAGCAGGCACGGGGCATCCCGGCCCGCTCCTCTGCGAACGCAGGGGCTGGGGCGAGGCCCCTCTTGTGAGCTCTGTCCTTCCCTGGGGCCTGCACCTCCCCAGCCCGGCTGGGCAAGCTCACA